CTACATAATGCTATACACCCTTGATTCTCATTCAGAAAAAACTTCAGAAGAGCAAAGAAACCTGTTAAAATGCTGTCTACCTTTGCTAAAACAAACCACCTGGTGGCACCTGTGGAGACATTTGCCTCTAAAAATATAATCCAGTGGGAAAACCCAATTTTTTTTTTTTTTTGGAGCAGAGCAAGGTTTACTGCAGGGTCCTGCAAGGAGATGGGTTGCTCATGCCCTGAAAAGCTCATGACCTGAGCTCCCAGGAGGGTTTCAGCAAAGCATTTTTAAAAGCCAGGTTGTGGGGGGCGGGTGTTGGGTGGCAGGGTGTGTGATAAGCTGATGTGCAATTCTCTGATTGGCTGATGGTAAGGTCACAGGAGGTGTCATGGGGTCACGGGCTCACGTGATCAGTCCTTAGGCTCCAGGAGGCCTGGGGCTGTGTGCTCACGGTCCTCAAGTAGTTAACATCTTCCATTTGATGGAGGGTTTTTACATCTGCAAAACAACTCAGGAAATGTGCTATCTGCAGGGAGGAGCTACAGCAGAGGGAAGGATGGAGGGAAGGCCTGTCCCTGCTTCTCAAAGCCCCATGGTGGGGAGAGGGGTATGTCCTCCTCCATTAGAATTCCTCCCTTTTCTTTGATACTTCTCAACCCTGAGGAGAACAAAGAAAACCCAATCTTTAACGTAAAACTCTGAAAGACAATTATTTAAGCATTAAAAAAAATTGTAAACATGACCAAAACTTTAAAAGTTTTTATCTAAAATGTTGAAGAATAGGACCGATGTGGGTCTTTTTTTGTACACTATTATTTTCAGAGTAGAAAAATCTTTACTTCCACTGTGGAGAATGGAGAGGCTGACATGGGGTTTTAGGAAGCAAACAGTTGGCTTTTCCATGATATTCCCATCGGAGGGGAGAATCGCATTTTCCCAGCAGCCTCCTTGATGATAATTAATGGAAAATAGTTAATGACCCAACTCTTTAACCTCAGGGGACTGACTTTTTCAGGTCAATTGAAAAGCACGGATTATAATTGTACATTCTTTTATGCCTGTATTATATATATATATATATATATATATATACACACACACACATATATATATACATACACATATATATATATACATACATACATATATATATATATACACACACACACACACACATATGTATATTTTAAAGGTATGCATTCTTTTAACATTGAAATACAGTTGATTTACAATATAGTGTTAGTTTCAGGTGTATAGCAAAGTGATTCAGTTCTGTATATATGTATATATATTCTTTTTCAGATTCTTTTCCATTGTAAGTTATTACAAGATATTGAGTAGAGTTCCCTGTGCTAGGTGTGTTTCTGTTAATCCCAGACTCCTAATTTATCCCCGTTCCCAGCCATTCACTTTGACATTGAAAATTGATCACTATTTCATTGATTACGGTGAAAAGCATTAGCTAGTATCTTAGATGCTTCATCGAGTTAAGATAGAGTCCTATCTAAAACTCTAGGGTGATAACACTACTCTTTTTGACAGGCTGAAAATAGTTTTGCTCTTTTCTTTTTCCGGCAGCACCATGCACCATGTGGGATCTTAGTTCCCTGACCAGGGATCGAACTTGAGCCCCCAGCTTTGGGAGTGAGGAGTCTTAACCACTGGACTGCCAGAGAAGTCCCCAACAGTTTTGGTTTTGAAAGTGGAAGTTACTCAGTTGTGCCCGACTGTGACTCTAGGCACTGTAGGCCGCCAGGCTCCTCTGTCCGTGGGATTCTCCAGGCAAGAATACTGGAGTGGGTAGCCGTTCCCTTTTCTTGGGGATCTTCCCAACCCAGGGATTGAACCTGCATCTCCTGCATTGCAGGGGGATTCTTTACCACTGAGCCACCAGGGAAGATCCCCAATAGTTTTGCTCTTAATGCCACACCACTGACCTGGCTTCTGTGAGCCAGAGACTGAGCAACGGGAGAACTCTTTACACCTTTCCAAGGACGACACCACGGGCTTTGTTATGGTCCCCATAATAGGGAGACAATATAGCTATGGTCACTGAGAACTCAGAGTCCCTGGGTCCGCAGCCTGGGGAAACCTCCTCCCTCTGCTCACCTGGAATCACCTGCAGGGGGGCCCAAGGATTTCTCGCCAAGGATGGAGGATGTAACCACGACAGACTTCCAGATGAGCCTTTCCTTAGGCAAGTTTGTGAGCCTCTCAGTTGTTAATTACTACAGAATTCTTTTCAGAGGACTTTCACAAAGGTAAGAACCAACTCTGTCCTTGGGGAACTCATTCTTTCACAACTGGAGGCAGGACAGGATAACTTTGTCTTCTGAATACATCTATGTACATCTTATATGGTGCTGGATATTGGAAGCATAATTCCTTTCTTACTAAGAGACTTTTCCTTTCTTCTTTCTGTTCCCTGCTTTTGCCATAAAAATCTCCATTGTCTTGGTAGGTACCTTTGGGGGCCTTGGAGTTTCTCTCTCTCCTTTCAATGTCTAATGTCTCACAGCAAGGCTTTGATGGGCTTCTCAAGGAGTCACACACCTGGACCAGGAGAGCACCTAAAAGTCTGCACTCTCAGAGGGACAGCAATTAAAATGACATGAAAAATAATTTTATGGAGAAAATTTTCTGGTCTAAGCTCTGATCACTTTTATTACTGGGAAAGAATGCACACATGTGTATGCATCTATCTGTGTTGACAGATGGATGGGTAGATAACTGCTCACCAGCATGGCTGTAAAGTTTCCTCTCTCTCACTTTTATCACTAAAAACATCACCCAGTACAGGGAGCACCCCGTCTCCCACCTGGTCTCTGTACTCTGAATGGAAGGAAGCAGAAATCCTGGTGGAGAAAAAACAATCCCGATGAAGCCAAGTTCATTAAGTGTGTGTCTGTCGGCATGCATGTGTAGGTGGAGAGATGTTAATTTATTTTGTAGTAAATTAGCAGTTTTGTTGGACTCTTTGGGCAGAATGCACAGATAAATCACTACTGAGGAGGCTGGCTTCCAGCCTTGGAAATTATAGACTGCTTCTAAAGCACAGCCAGAATCTATCGACTTAGTAATGAAGTTGGTGTCAGAAAAAACCTGGGTTCAAGTCACCACTTGGCTGACTGCACACATGTAACAGTGGCTTTTACAAACATGCTTTCTCATCTCTAAAATAGGTTTGACCACCTCAGTACTTCTGACCAAATGAAATCGGTTAAGAATCCAAATAAAAAAGAACAGGAAGAACCACAATAAATATAGACAACACATTTATGCAACACAAATGAATTGTTATTTTCAGTCTAACCTGCCTTTGGAAGGCTTTTTTTGTTTTACACATTTAATTCTGAAATTATTATAGATTCACCAGAAGTTTCACGAAAGAATGTATACACAGTGGTCCCACACATTCTTCACACAGTTCCACCCAATGGAAACTTCATCAATTGTACAACATCAAAGCCAGGAGAAACACTGGTATAATTCTAAGAGCTCATTCAGATTTCATAAGTTTGTATGCACTCGTGTGTGTGTGGGGGGGGGCAGGAGGGGTTGCCATTTCCTTCTCCAGGCGATCTTCCTGACCCAGGAATGGAACCCACATCTCCTGCATTGGCAGGTGAATTCTTTACCACCAAGTCACCTGGGAAGCCCTACAGGTGAGTGTAGGTCTATGCAATTTTAACACATGTGGAGGTTTGTGTAACCAATGAAATCAAGTGTACCCTCCTATTAAACCACTGAAATCAAGTACCTTCCTATTGAAAAAACTTCCCAGTGACTTAACAAACAACTTCTCCTTGTGCCAGTTGGTTAAAATAACACCAGGGAGGAACTTTCCTGGTTGTCCAATGGTTAAGACTCCATGCTACCAATGTGGGGGGCCTGGGTTTCATTCCTGGTCTGGGAACTTAGATTCCACACACTGTATGGTGCAGTCAAAAGATAAAACAAAAACTTTGGGGAAAGCGCAGATCTAGATAATTAGAATCTGCAAATACATGATTATTATGAGGATATGAGCCAAGGCACAGGCACAAAGTTTCTAGTGCTGCAGAATCTGGACAGGTCTGCGGTTATAGAATTTATCAGCATTTACTTCTGAGCTCTGATCATTATTTGTCTCAGACATTGACACATGTCCATCCCCCTCCACACCGAATAGCCTTTTAAGAGGTGCTTCTATTAATAGTTAAGAGGATTGACAGACTTAAACTGTACTTCCTGCAAAGATACACACAACTCTGAGCAGGAAAATGGTTACTCTTTGGGGAAATCATGTTGTCTAGTGATAGAAATTCATGCTTAAGAAATTCAACTAGGAAACTATGACTTTAGGAAAAACACCCTTAGTTCCTAAATGGTCTTTCATGCCTGTATTAGTTTTACCAAATTTTTTTCCCCTCAAGCGATTTTGGTGGAAAGCAATCTATACTTTTTCATTGGTGGTGTTTTGTCAGACTCAGTTGAGTCTGACTCTTGCAACCTCATGGACTGTAGCCTGCCAGGCTCCTCTGTCAATGCGATTTTCCAGGCAAGAATACTGGAGTGGGTTGCCGTTTCTTTCTCCAGGGGGTCTTCCCAACCCAGGGACTGAACCCTGGTATCTTACATCTCCTGCATTGCAGGTGGTTTCTTTCCTGACTGAGCCACGAGGGAAGCCCATATATTTTTCATTACTATATGGGATATAACTTTTATGTAGGAATATCTAAGCACTGATAGCAGCCATAGAAATCTATGTCTAGGTTTTCTGCTTTTTAAGACATTACTTCCTGAAACGAACAAATAAAATGTAGTCATTTGCCATTGTAAAGGGAAGCTGTTTAGGTTGGAGAAAACTGGATGAATCAGGTTGTTATCAAAGTTCTAGTTTTTCTCTTGGGTTTAGTTTGGAAGCCTTTTTTGATAAATCATCAATAAGGTAAAGTGAGCGCTGACATTAAAGCTTGCTTATGGTTTTATATTCTTTCTGGATAAACCCTTTCCTTGCCAAGAACAGTCACGGACTGGGGAGATGGTCTTACCTTGACATTGTGCGTGGCTGTGGCACATCCTTCATTTTCCACGGTTTGGTGAACGTTCACATTATATGCCTCAGACCTTGGTGGAGGCAGAAATCTTATCCGCCTCGATGGTCTGGAGAAATGTTTCTGGTGGCCCCTTTGGTTGTCTTGGGAAAGCCTGGGCATGTTTTTACGATAAAGCCTCAAACGAGTCCTGTAGCTTGATTTTAAGAATACCAGCCCAGGGTCCACTCTATTTCTCTTCCTTTGGCTGGTGCTGGGCCATCGTTTAGTCTGCTGGGGGCCTCCCTGTAAAGTCACATCAGTCGAAGCAAGAGGATTATCTGTGTTGTGGGTCAGCAGTTTATCCACAGTCCCTGGGCTCTATTCCAGGATGAGCCTCTGATTTTGAGAGTCTAGGTATGTTCTGACTGCCCTCTACAGGTAGCAAGTGAAGTGAACGTGAAGTTGCTCAGTCGTGTCCGACTGTTTGCGACCCCGTGGACTGTAGCCTACCAGGCTTCTCAGCTCTACAGGTAGCAGCGTACTCCTAATTCAAATTTAATGCCAAATCAAAACCGAAAGAAATGATTCAAGTGATACATTGCTTAGTATATAGCGATAAAGAAAATAGATCCTGTGGTAAAATTCTGCGTTTTTAGTGTGTGATAAGTGGAAAATTCAGACCATACCCTCGAGAGGCAGAGGAGCCACTTTATCTGTCTTGGTCTCTCTCTCTCTCTTTTTTTTAAATCTTGGTCTCTTAAAAGCTCCTTCTAGTAGCAGTCGGCTTTGTGGCTGGAAATGCTTGCTAAACTCATAACCACACTTCACTCCAAGGATTATTACTTTTTCTTTATGTCATGCAGAATTAACTGAGGACTTCCCTGGTGGCTCAGATGGTAAAGAATCCCCCTGCACCTGGGATTTGATCTCTAGGTTGGGAAGATCCCATGGAAGAGGTCATGGCAAACCACTCCAGTATTCTTTCTGGAGAATCCCCATGAACAGAGGAACCTAGTGGGCTACTGTCCATGGGGTCACAAAGGGTTGGACATGACTAAGTGACTAAGCACAGCACAGCACAGAATTACTTGAAGTCATTTCCTTATGTGATAGTCATCTAACCATGAAGTCAAAACTTGGCTTCTACATCATACTTCCTTTTTGTAAAGTGCTTTATAAATATCAGATTATTGGACTTTCCTGGTGTTCTAATGGTTAAGCCTCTGCACTTCCACTGCAGGAGACCTGGGTTTGATCCTTGGTCAAAGGTATCTAAGGCCCAGGTAGCTTCTGCTGGGTCTGGAGGAGCACAGAGGTAAGGACCCCAGGCATGCATTGCTGGGGACTATGAACTGAAGAAGCTTCCATTCATAATATAGTCCCAGGCCCCCAAAATGGATATATAAAATGAACATAAGTTGGACCTCACATCATGTTAAAAAAATTAACTTGAAATGAATCATAGACCCATATTTAAGTGTTAAGGCTATAAAACTTTTAAAAGAAAACTTAGGAGAAAATTTATTTGTGATCTCAGATTAGGCAAAGCCTTCTTAGATACAATACCAAAAGCACAACTGACAAAAGAAAAAACAGGCAAACTGGATTTCATGAAAATGAAAACCTTTTGTTTTCCAAAGGACATCATCAAAAGAGTGAAAAGACACCCACAAAATAGGGTAAAATATGGCAAATCATACATACATAATAAGGGACTTATATCCAGAATATATAAAGAGCTCTTAAAAAACAACTAGAAATGGGTGAATTATGTAAATAGACGTTTCTCAAAAGAAGACACGCAAATGGCCAAAAAGCATATGAAAAGATGCTCAACATCTTTAGCAACTGGGGACATGCAAGTCAAAATCACTAAGGAGATACCAATTCAGTTCAGTTCAGTTCAGTCGCTCAGTCGTGTCCAACTCTTTGCGACCCCATGAATCACAGCTCGCCAGGCCTCCCTGTCCATCACCAACTCCCGGAGTTTACTCAAACTCAAGTCCATCGAGTCAGTGATGCCATCCAGCCATCTCATCCTCTGTCATCCCCTTCCCCTCCTGCCCCCAGTCCCTCCCAGCATCAGGGTCTTTTCCAATGAGTCAACTCTTCACATGAGGTGGCCAAAGTACTGGAGTTTCAGCTTCAGCATCAGGAGATACCAGTAGGTATTCTTTAATCAAAAAGACCGACAATGACAAGCTTTAGTGAGGATGTCAAACACTGGCACCCTCACACACTGCTGGGGGGAATGTAAAGTGATAACTTCACTTTCAAAAACAGGGTTACCATTCAATGTAGCAGTTCCCTTGTAGGTATCCACTGAAGCCAGAGAAGTGAAACATGTTTACCAAACACTGGCATGCAAGTGTCCAGTACTGTAAATCAACCCACGTGCCCATCAAGTAGTGAAAGATAGACAAAGGTATACCCGCACAATGAAATATTATTCAGCTGTAAAAAGGAATGAAGTACTAATATGTATTGACACAATACATATGTGAGTCTTGAACATATATTGAGAGAAGCGAATCACAAAAGATCACGTGTTGTATAATGCCGCTCCTAAGATGTCCAGAATCGGCCGCTCCTCAGATACATAAAGTAGAGGAGAGGCTGCCTAGGGCAAGAGGGTTTGGGGAGAGATGAAGAATGATGGCGAAAGAGTAAGAGGTTTCTCTTTGGGGCGATGAGAATTTTACAACACTGACTGCAGTGATGGTTGCCAACTCTGAGAATACAGTAAAAACCTGACATTTGTGATCTATGTCTCAGCATCAGCTTCATAACTGAGTCTCTTTTTTAAAAAGCCTGATCCGCTGAATTGTCAAATTCACGAGAAAGTTAACCGACTTCAAAGCTCTAAATTAACCTTTTCGGAATGACGGTTACGATAAATGATCAGTAAGCTTTGGCCCCGTTCTCCGCCTCTGGCGCTCTCCGGCACGGTCCAGGGAAGCGCTGGGTGTCGGGGTGGGGAGAGTGCTTGCATGCCTGACCCTCAGAGAAACCCTCGTAGGCGAAGGGCGCACCGTGAATCGTTTTGGGTCCTCCCGGCTTCCGCCTTCCGGGCGGTCACGTGCCCAGGATCACGTGACCCGCGCTCCTGTCATTCCGCCGCGGCCGCTCCGGCTTCTTCCAGCCTGTGCCGCCCTCAACGTCTCCTCCGTGTGGGATCGCCCCCGCCGCCGCCACTGCCTAGGCCTCCGGACCGGGAGGGCCCCCGACTCGGCTGTGACTCGCGCCCGGACCGCTGCGTCCTCCCGCCTCCTTTGGGTGCGTTGGGGGGGTCCCATGGTTCGCGGGGTGAGGCTGCTCTCGGGTCGTTCCGACTGCTGCCCCGGACCGGCGAGCCTGCGGTTTCCCCGCGTCCCTGGCGCGCTGGCTCTCTCCTCCGCCCAGGCGCCCCTGGGCCATCCTCCGGCCCCGGGTTCCCAGGTGTCTTTCCTTCCAGACCCTAGCGGCGTTTGAGGAACCGCAGAGCCTCCCCCGCCGGGAAGGGCAAGGGAGAGCGTGGACCGGCGAGAGTTGCTTTCCCCGGGTCGGGGCCGCGGCCGTGGTGGGCGCGGGGTTCGGGTTGTCCAGGGCCTAGGTGACCGCCCGCCCGCAAGCACAGTCGCCCGCCGCGGGAGGGCTCGCCGAGGCTGGGCCTGCTGGATTCCGCGATCCCAGCTTGGCCCGGGCGGAGCTTGTTTGTACTTGGGCCCGGCCGGTCTGCAGGGCCTGTGTTTGTTTAGACAACAAATCCTCAGATGTAGAGATTCCTTCCAGGTTGACTTAAGGTCATTGGGACCCTGGAGAAGAATTTAGGTTGTGGTTTTATCTTGTTTTTGGTCATAACTAACTGTGAGCTTTTATTTTGTAAACAATCTTTTATTTTGTATCGTGATACAATCAGGCTTAAGGTTTTATCTTTGAGTTTAGGAGTGAGAATTACTTAAAAGTTCATTATTGTGCGTTCATATCATCAGATCAGTCTCCCATTGTTGACTGAACCTAAAATGTAATCTGTTTCAAAAAATTCTCTCAATATTGATTTTGAAACTGCTATTAATTTTGATTGAAAAAAGAAAGCTCTGCCTTCTAATATCTTACATTCCCATTTAGAATGTTTTAATTTGAATTACGTTATAAAAAGACATGTAGGTTTTTCATATGTCACTTTAAAATTGTGCTTAGTAAATGTAAAGAAAATAGTTGGTTCTATCTATGTTATGCAAGTTCTTATTTTTAAGTCGATCTCAACCGTATGTATTTAAAATACTTTCTTATCTTGTATGCCTATTCTTCCTATCCAACTCTTTGTGACCCCATGGGCAGACCCCATGGACTGTATAGGCTAGAATACTGGAGTGGGTAGCCTTTCCCTTCTCCAGGGCATCTTCCCAACCCAGGGATCAAACCCGGGTTTTGCGCATTGCAGGCAGGTTCTTTACCATCTGAGCCACAAGGGAAGCCCAATATCTTATGATTACTTTTAAAATCTTACTGTGATATTAGTCCCAACAATTGGAAAACATTTCCTGGAAAAGTGAAAACCTATAGAGAACACATTTATGGAGTAGGGCATAACTGGACAAGATTTGAAATATAATGATGTTAATGTTTAGGCTTTTTAATGTTTGAGATGAATGGTCCTAGAGATTATGGTGACAATGATGCTATTGATGATAATAGTAGCAGTTGTTAAAAAACAATCACACCTTGTATTCTGGTTTTGCCTTGCATGCAAATTGAAGATCGGTAGAAGAACATTCAAGATCATAAGTTTAGATGACCAAGATGGATATCCGGGGCGCTGTGGATGCTGCTGTTCCCACCAACATCATTGCCGCCAAGGCTGCAGAAGTCCGTGCGAACAAAGTGAACTGGCAGTCCTACCTGCAGTGAGTGCTGGTGTGCTGTGAATCAGGGCTGTCATGTGCTTTGGCCTTCTTCATGGTCATGCTTCTGTGAGAGGAACACTGGAAAAAGCCTAACAAATGTGGAAGAAAACACTTCCTCCTTAGAACTGTTAGCTGTCACCTGCTTAGTGTGATGGAAACAGCTTGGGGCTCCAGTGGGCAGGCTGTGCTGCTCACAGTGCTTAAAAAATTAAAAAAATATATATATATATTTATTTTTGGCTGTGCTGGGTCTTCATCACTTTGCCTGGGCTTTGTCCTGTTGCAGCAAGCAGGGACTGCTCTCTGGCTGCAGCGCACAGGCTTCTCATTGCAGTGGCTTCTTTTGTTACGGAACGTGGGCTGTAGAGTGTGAGGGCTCAGTAGTTGTGGTGCACGGATTTAGCGGCCTCACGTCACGTGGGATCTTCCTGGACCAGGGATCGAACTGGTGTCTCCTGCATTGGCAGGTGGATTCTTTACCACTGGATCACCAGGGAAGCCCCTCATAAAGGTTTTAATTTGTCAACTGACTCAAAAAGGACTTTTGTTGAAAGCCTTTGCCTGGGTGCTAGGTAGAACTGCCTTTTAGATTCATAGTCTGACCAGGTGAAAGAAGTAAAGCAGTCAGATGTGTGCTTGACAGGACTGCAGGGTCAGAGGGGCGTGGAGAAGGGTGGAGTTGGAAGCAGGAAGCCCATTGGGCTGTGGCCATGGGACTGAGCCACTCCGGAGGGGCATGGAGTAGGGTGGGATTGGAAGCCAGAAGCCTGTTGGGCCGTGGCCATGGGACTGAGCTGCTGGAGAGGCAGGGAAGGGGGGAGCAGAGGGAGATCAGGAGGAAGAATTGTCAGGATGGCTCAACTGGGCTGGCTGTCATGGAAGGGGCTGGAGCCGCTGACCTGTTGGGTTGGCTTGGGTGAGGACAGGCAGAGACTTGGCTCGTGCCCAGAGGTGGTATTTTATCGAGTTTCGGTGGACCAGGCCTGTGCTGACCACCTCATGAAACTGAATTGTTTCATCCTCAATCCAGCCTCTTAAAGACAATGTGGTTCTTGTTCCCATTTTGTGGGTCAGTGAGCTCAAGTCCTGGGAGGCCCGTGAGCAGGAGGTGGTACAGCTGAGCCCTGAAGACAGGTCTGTGGGTGCTGGGTGTGGGGGTTAGCACTCAAAGAGAGAGGAGAGAGGTGGGCATTCTGTATCACTAGCTCATAGGGACCCTTCAGCCTTACTGAACAGAAACCTCATTCTCTCTTTCTAGGGGGCAGATGATTTCTTCTGAAGACTGCGAGTTCATCCAAAGATTTGAGATGAAAAGAAGTCCTGAGGAGAAGCAGGAGATGCTTCAGACTGAAGGCAGTCAGGTGATCGGTACAGATAGAAGACCATGAGCCTTGCCCTGGATCGTTAGACATTCTAGAGAGTTTCTCAGTGATTTTTTGACATTCCTCTTAAGCAGGTGTCATAGTTTTACTAAAAATTCTCTTTTATTGGAAGACATTTGAGTGATTTCTAGTTTTCTTTGTTAATGTTGGAAAAAATGTCATACTGAGTTTGTAGATGTTCCTCCATCCTTTTCTGCATTTTCTGAAACATTTTTTTTTTCGAAATAGAGTAGATTCCTGGCATGAAAATTACTGTTTCAAAGTATACAGTTATTTTCAAAGTTACTTAACTTTTTTTTTTTAAAGAAAATTCTTTGTCTCCTTTGTATTTTCACTAGAACAACATCTAACTTTGCCACCCATGAGATTTTCTGATATGGGGTCCTGATGGGCTGAAGGAGCTGGTACAGGCTAACCTGAATGCACAATCCTGGGAAGTGTGGGAGGAGGCATGTTGTGGGTGCCAGTCTTGTTGAATTCTAGAGCAATCATGACTCAGTTATTAAATTGTAGGATGGAGCTTTCTTATTGCAGTGCCTGAACTGAATTCCTGTACTTTTGCTGCCCTGGTATTCTGCTTCCTCATAAATGCAAAAGCCCTCCCAAAAGACCAAAAAAACCCAAACACCAAAACAAAAATTTAATATTAGATTGTCCATGTAACTTCTTTATGGTATCAAGAGTTGATGATGGCTAGGTCTATCTATTTTAAAATAGTAAACATTTTGATGTGACTAGAAATTATAAAAAATCTGATGTGAGTATGGCCCTCCTGTACTTCATCACATATATGTGAAAGGATGCATCTTCTGTAATTGCATCTTCATTTAGGCAAGAGAATAATATCTTACTGAAATTCCATTAGAGCATTGTGTTTGCAGTTGAAAAAAGTGATTAACATTCATTTTTTTTTTTCAGTGTGCTAAGACATTTATAAATCTGATGACTCATATTTCCAAAGAGCAGACAGTTCAGTACATACTCACCCTGGTGGATGATACGCTGCAGGTGGGTGTCTTCCTCAGCAGACATGTTCAGTCCTCACCTTATTGTATTCTCCCTGGAGCAGCATTTCTGAAAGGTTTCACTTAAGCACTTGTTCACTTTCAGGGTGTGATGGTATATTTTTCTTCACTGTGGGAGTTGTCATTTGCTGATTGTGGTGAAGACGGGGTTGTCCCCACACTGGCTGTTGTGGTTTTCAGGATGTTGGGGGACTGGTGTGTCTTTTTTCCACGTTTCCTCTGAGTTCTGTGCTGAACACAGCAGTGCTCAATGCACCCCCACAGGCTTTCTGGGTGCTCTGCATACTCACAGATGACACAGCTCCCTCTCCTTCAGTCTTTCAACAGATTTCAGCGTCCCCGTGTCCTGGGCCAGGGCCGAGTACTGGGAGCTCAGTGCTGACTGTAGGCAAGGTGTTCGTCCTCAGAAGCATGGTGTGTTTGGAGAACATTTTGCTCATCATTTGGGACTTTTCCGGTGGCTTAGAGTTTCTATTTACTGCCCTGTTGTCCTTCAACCCAGAGACTCCCTTATTCACAGTTTTGTATTTTTACACCTGAGTGTAATCTCAGTTTAGGTTGTTGGAATCCAGAGTAGTCCTTTATGAAACAGGCCAACTGGCTGCAAAATCCACAACCTATCGAAGTTAATGATGAACTACTTGAACTTAGAGTTCTTTGATGAAGTCATTACCATGACTATTTCAGTTATTACTCTAGACTCTGATAATGTGTTATTGAAGGAGATAGTTTTCTACTCTTCAAATACGTAACTGCTAGTATAAACCAAAATGAAAATCCTTGGGGACTTCCCTGGTGTCCAATGTCTCCCAGTGCAGGGGGCATGGATTCCATCACTTGTCAGAGAACTAAGATCCCAAATGCTGCAACTAAGACCTGGTGTGGTCAAGTGAATACATATTAAAAAACACATTGTATATGTTTATTTTGGCCCCGTCTTAAAGCAAGCATGTTGGTTCCTAGTTCCCCAAAGGGGATTCTGACCTGAGTCCCCTGCATTGGCAGCACAGAATCTTAACTACTGAACCGCCAGGGAAGTCTCAAAACCATTGCATTTAAAAAGATTTAAATATTGATCTGAGAATGAAAATGACTGTTTATGTGGTTTTTGTGTCATTGGCAAATACTGCTACTTAACCACTGTATTCACTTAGTGAATCAGATAGTGGATTTCAGCCATCAACACACAGAGAACATTTCAGTGAGAGGTAGCGCTTGTATTATTTGAGCTAAGAAACTAAGAATTGATTGTTCCTCAGATCTGTCTGTTGGTATACGCTGGGTTTTGCCATCTTCACCTGCCCTGATTTTTCTATCACAGCACGCTAGGAGTAGCCATGAACATTGGAGATTTCTTTAATTCCCTGTTGCCCCTGCCTGCCTGGAAGTAGCTTGGGGTGCTTCCTGTGAATCCTTCCATCTAGAGCTAAATTGGCATCTTTCTGCCTCCTCCCAACTTTGTTTGTGTGGATGTAGGGTGGAGGTGTCCAGGCAGCACTGGGAGGGGTGGGGCAGGTCAGGAGGGGGACAGACTGAGAAGTAGAGCTAGGGGTGCTCCACCTGCAGGCATCTGTTAGCATGGCTCACCAGATTTAAATTAATCATAATACATTAGAGGTGATTTTTATTTAAAGACATCTACCCCTTGAAACAGATCACCAGCCCAGGTTGGGTGCATGAGACAAGTGCTCGGGCCTGGTGCACTGAGAAGACCCAGAGGGATCGGGTGGAGAGGGAGGTGGGAGGGGGGACCGGGATGGGGAATACATGTAAATTCATGGCTAATTCATCTCAATGTATGACAGAAACCACTGCAATGATGTAAAGTAATTAGCCTCCAACTAATAAAAATAAATGAAAAAAAAAAAAGACATCTACCCCTGCCCCCATCACCACCCTCTGCTCCACTGTAATAATAATGGGGGCACAGATCTCATACAGACTGGAAAAAAACACACTGATTGAGGGGATGGAGCATGAAAGGCTGAGAAGCAGTGCATAATTGTCATGTTCTTTAACAAGATGCATTCCGATCAGTGATTATTCTTTGTTTCTAAGGAAAATCACCAACGTGTTAGCATTTTTTTTGACTATGCTAAACGTAGCAAGAACACTGCCTGGTCCTACTTCCTGCCTATGCTGAATCGCCAGGATCTCTTTACTGTTCATATGGTGAGTTTTGAATTGATCACATTTCTGATTTCGGGAAGAACATCAGTTATGACTAGGTGACCTCCCACTTGCCAGGAGGAGTAGCTGCTCTGATGCTGAGCAGAGCTCCATATCCTTATTGGTGGTTAGTGACAGGGGTGTTGGGGGCGGGGGTGGGGGGGTTGGAACAGGGCTGGGAGCTCAGAGGAGGTGGGGTTGCCCTGATACAGTTCAGATTTTGCAGAGTATTCTATGAATTCATTGACATAAAAGCCTGGAATTTTGAAACAATGGCTTGCTTATAAAAAGTACTGGGAAAAAAAAACTACTGAAAGAATATTTACTAAATTGGGTTTGTGTGAAGTAGTATTTTATACTGCCTTCCCCCCTGTCTGTATCTGTCAATTTCCAAGTTTATTGATGTGTAATTGCAAAACTGTAAGATACTTGAAGTATACAACATGATGATTTGATAAACATATACTGCTTATTTAATAAATTCTTGATTCATTTTATAGTTTGAAGAAAATTGAGAACTTTTTCAATGAGGAGAAAAGAGTATTTGTTTCTATTGCGAGAAATGACTATTTCATACCCAGGATATATTTTGTATCAAGATATAGATATTTAAGTGTGAGACTCGCAGGGGCTTGAATGAGTGAGGTGGTGCTGGCAATGTGTTGTGGAGATGGCTCAGGACTCTGGCAAGTGGTTTGGTGAGAGTCTCTAAGGACTTTTGTGTTCTTTTGATCTTTGCTGGTCTTGTAATGAATCCCAGTCTTACTTTTGAAACTCAGAATAATGTAGGGAATGTCGTGAAATTCTTAACATACTATTGATATTGTTCACTTTGATGGAAATATTTAAAACTACATTTGACTGTATTAAAATATTTTTTAAAATGAAATATAATCTGTTATCTTGGGACAAGTTGAGTGCTAGAAGAAGTCATGCTGCAAAATGGTTACAAGTCCTGATTTTTAGGGTTGATGTTGTGATTTTTAGAATCAGAATAATGGTCAAATGCTTTTCTTGTTTTTCAGGCAGCAAGAATTATTGCCAAGTTAGCAGCTTGGGGAAAAGAACTGATGGAAGGCAGCGACTTGAATTACTATTTCAACTGGATAAAGACTCAACTGAGTTCACAGGTAAGAGACACTCCTCTTAGTATTCTTAAAAGAATATAACGTCTGGTTCTCTAAAGCTACTTAAGATATTTATGTGAAGTTGCAGAAATTCTGTGTTAAACTAGAGCCATCCTGAACTCTGACTCAGCCATGCTGCTCACAGGTCTAATAGGGGCTTCACCTTTTCTATCTTTGACTGGCTTCCACGCAGACCTTCCTGTCTCTTCTGCACTCGGGATTTTCCCATCATGCGTTTCTGCGAGTGGGGAGGATTGTGCTTCCCAGAAGGTGGCTGCCGAGGTCACATGGATTGGAGGATTGGGAGGACTCACACAGCTTCAAAAGACACACTCTGGGTGGCCTGGGCTGCTGTGTCTAGCTTGAGATGCTGTCTCACACAGCAGCTGCCTCTGGATCCTACCGTGTCCTCCTGGGATTGAGTTTATAGCCACAGGGAAACAGGTGGCCTGCTTGCAGGTTGTCTCGCTGCTGTCAGGCCTCTTGAACCTCGCTGCCTCGTGGAGGAAGACAGCTCGCGGGTGTGACAGCTGGCAGATGACAAGTTGTCCCTTTTGTCCTCGTGGTTCCCTGGAGCAGGACAGGTGACCGGACACTTCCAGTGGCTGAGCTGAGGGTTTCTTTCTTTCTGGGGGTCCAGTGAGCAAGTGTGAGGTGGTAAGGGGGAGTAGCCTCAAGGGAGGAATGAGCCAAATTGGGTGGGGAGGAGATCTGTGGAAGAACAGGTAGGAGAGGGGGTGGTGTGTGTGGCGGAGTGGGTGACAGCAAGGGTGAGACCAGGAGAAGCGTTGCTGGTAGGTGTGGTGGTGACAGTGTTAGATCAAAAATAAAGGTCTGCTTGAAATAAAGGTGTGGAAAGGTGTCATTTAGACTTTAGGTGGCTTTATGATCTTAATGGATTTTAATTTGAAGCATAAGAGAGATACCATGACATTTTGGTTGGATTTATTTTTTGTCTTATCCTCCCTTGCCTTCGTTTGGGTGGGGGGTGGTGGAGCCTCATAGTCTTTTCTGTTTGGACAGGGAGATTCTGAAGTGTCTTGAACAAAATCAGTTGTTTTCTCTGTCTATATTTCTATAGAAATATAGAATATATATAGAAATATATTTCTATAGAAATATAGTTGTTTTCTCTCTATATATTTCTATATTTTAATAGGTTTTGGGCTTAATTTTTTAAAGTATCTTTACACAAGCCACAAGTTTGCAGATTTTATAGAACTGGTGAGGGATTTCAAAAAGAAAATATTTAGAAAGTGAAAAATAGCTATGTTAAAGACAAGGTTTAAAATTCTTGAGTGTGTACCATTTGAGATCAGAATGTTTAATTACGTAGTTAACCTCCCATCCCCATTTCCCCCCTCTATTTTGAGGTTAGTTTTCCCTTTGAGCAGACATCATCTTGTTTTGGGGTCAGCTGTGAGGCTCTTTGGTAGCTGGACTCCTAAAACCAGAGTGGGTAGCAGAGACTGCATGCTGCTGTGTGCCTTCAGCACGCTGGGTCATTTCAGCTTAGACTTCTTCTCATGGGAGTAACGTTTGTGTTGTGCCTCACAGACGGTCTGTCCCTGTTAGCACCATTAGCTGCGGTTGTAACCATGGCCAGCGGTTGGGGGATATTCTTCCAGTCCCTAGTAGAAGCAGGTGTTTCAGTGTTTGGAACAATTTTCATCAGACCCGAGCTTCTTGGTGTGAGGTGAATGCTCTTAGAGACCTTTCTGTGTCTTTCCAGCATGCTGGCTCTTTTTTTTTTTAATCGCCGAGTCTCTGGCCTTGTTTAGGTCTGGCTTCTCTGCTTTGCACATCGTGCTCCAGGGAGAGTCTTTGGCCTGTCTGCTCTGAGTCTCGTCACTGCTTCCGCGGGGCCCAGCTGCTATGGGCAGACACTCCTCCCCAGCCTCTGGTCAGGAGTCAATTATAGGCCTCTTGTCTGAGGAATGAGGTGTTGGCTTGTTGGGGATTTTTTTTCTTCTTTGCTTAAAGGCCATGTGATAACATTGTCTCTGCAAGGTCTCTTTTCTCTGTGTCATAAGCATTTTTTCTCTCATAAAAAAGGACCACACTGTCACGATTCTAATAAAAATAAACTTTCAAAAGTCTGAATTAGGTGCAAATTTGAATATTTTGTTTTTCAACTTCACAGTGACATTTAGGAGCCTTTTTTCTGATTGTTTGAGTGCTATACTTGTGTTATAGGGGCTCATGCCTGGTACTTTGTCAATAATAGTTGTTGAATAAAACAAAAGAATTTTCTTGAAGAAATTCCTTATCAGTTTTCTCTTGCATACCCAGTTTCTGACTTTCTACTTTAAATTTCCTTTGCCCATTACTGTATAACATGTGAGGTTCTGATTGTCATTATAGTGTGTTAGCCTTGCTGTGAATAGTCTCATCTTTGAGTCCCACATAGTATCTTTCCATCATCAGACACCCGTTTTGAAAGCTTTGAAGCAGAACACAGTGTAGACAGTTGTGCTTAAGACATTGTCTTATTGGAAAAACGATTCAGGCAGTAAATCCTGAGACTTGGAAATTTTGTACCAGCTTCACTTAAACAAGTTAGCTGGAACTTAGTATTCAGTTTATTATTTTGAGATAATTTAAGATAACTTAGGGATTAAGGTATTATCTGGAAGAATGTAATGTTTAGAATATTTCATGTCATCCCCATGCTTTTTATTTGTTGATGATACTCCATTAAATAGGGCTAGAAAAATAATGATAAAACTAGTAAGCTAATAAAGTAGGATAAGATTAAAAACAAAACTAAGTAATGAGTTATTTATTTCATAATAGAAACTGCGTGGTAGCAGTGTCGCTGCTGAAACAGGAACAGTCTCCTCAAGCGATGTAAGTACACTCCCTCTTCGTTCGCTGGCCTCCTCCCGCCCCGAGCATAAGTTACTTTGAGTTGTAGACAGTTAGCATCCCCTGGATGTAAATCCATGGATTTGGTGCAACCTCCATTTGGGTTAGTGGCGTCCTGAACACTGTGCGTGAGGCTTCCTAGGCTGTGGGGTCACTTTCTGCTCTCGTTGGACGTGGGATGCCCTCTTCCTGTTGCGTTCCTCTTCAGGCGGCTGTATCTCAGGCCTAAGAGTCAGAGCGACTCGAGTGAGTTCACCAGAGCTGCTGTCTTTGCTTCACCATCAACCCTGATGTCCGACAGATCCATGAGCCCTCTGCCAGGCAGCTGGAGACAGTTCAGTTCCCTGCTGGCCCGAAGACCCACTACTTGCCCTGTTGCTCAGAGTTTTCTGGAGGCCTGTGGTGGGGGCAGATCCCCTCTTTTCAGGCCAGACATGCCTCACTCTTCTGTAGAGCCCAAAGGTTAAATGTTAAAACTAATCATATCTCACCAAATTCCTTTCCTGGTTAATCTCCCTGGTTGGGAATGGTTTGATTTCACTGTATTCAGAAGAGTTCAAGAATTGGCAATAAATGTGGACAAGTAGGAGCTGGCATGATTAGTGCCAGTTGAGAGAGAGGTGGGAAAAGAGTTAAAAATATAGAAGAGTTGTGTCTACATTCCCACCTGCCTGTGATAGACCTCAGCCAAGTTCAGGGGGAGCCACGTGGGATCCGTGTTCATAACCTGCAGCAGACACCCCATGTGTGTGCTCGCAGACTAGGGAGGGCAACAGAATCCATTTCAGAGCCAAGAGGGGTGCTTCTCTTGGGGCGTGGGTGGGGGAACTTGACCTCTTGAACCTAGCACACTTGGGTGTGTTAGGCCAAAAATTGGCACGAGCCTTCTGAGGTGGAATCAGAACAAGGTGTAGAACCAGGTGAGCAGTTTGGGGGCGGGGTAGGGAAGGTAGAGGTAGGCTCCAAGTCTAGATGCTCAACCACAAGCAGATGTTTAAGTTGGGAATCTTTGTCTTCTATGACTTGAGTTTTTTCCTATCAGTTTGAAATTTTGAAAAATTGTTTGAAAAATTATCTGGTTAGATTTATTTGTCAAATTTTAAAAAGGTGTGTCTTTACTCACACGTGTCTATAAACTCAAGTGGTTGTTAAAGGGTCTGGAAGTTATTTAGGCTTCCGCAGTGAGTGAACTCTGGTCACATGACATCCCTTTCTTGCTCTCTTCTGTCCGTCATGTGGAACACATGATCCTGTTGACCTGGTGGTGGTCAGTCAAAGTGGGTTGTCTGGTGGACTTGACATGTACATCCCAGCAGAGTTTGTAGCATCGAGGGTGATTCTGGGTGGAGAGAAGATGGCCTTTGATGTCCAGTCTCTTCCCTTTAGTGCCTTGTGCACCTGAACACACTGCTTGTCTCCTCCTGAAGGGTCCTACTTCTTCAGAAGCCTCTCCGCCTGGAAAGCAGATGAGAGAGGAGTGTTAGCACTTCCTTTGACAGTTTCATTTTAGTAGGGGGATCGGAATTGGTAACTGGTATTTATGGCGCTCCTACTATATGCCTGGCACTGTTTCAGTCACCTGGCATTTACATCTCCTAGAGTATTCACAGCTCGTCTTTGATGTGGGTCTTACCATAAGCCGCATTTCAGGGATGAGCAGTGAGGCTGCTGGAAAGGCACACGGGCTCGCCTAAGGTCATCTGCTTGCCCACGGTCATCTGGTCATGGTTGCAAAACCGCCAGGGAGATAGAGTCCTTCCCAAGAGGGGTTCTAAGACCTGTGGACTGAACCTGGAGCTTTAGACATTCTCCAGGTTGCCTCGCCTACTCAGACTTTTAAAAAATAGCCATGTTGCATCTTAAAATCCGTTTAGGGTTTCAGGCATTGTACAAATGGGGTTTGGTAAACTGCATTCCCTACTGCTGCCACTTGATGTCAGTATAAGACAAACGGCTCAGCTCTGCACTGCAGTATGAGAAGTGTGATGCCACAGACCTGGCTTCTAAAATGGCACAGAAGTGACATTCTAAGTTATGAGTGGACCCGTGTAGACATTGTTATTTAAATGATTTTCCATAGATGAACTTTTCTTAAAATGCGTTGTGTTGTTTTTACCTCAATGTGAAGATCATGAATGACTTCAGATTTCTCGTACTTAGGCTGACTGATCTTTTACTGTTGTTCAGCTCTTTGCTGACTCCTGATTGTGGATTATTAGTTTTCGATTTTTTCGAGGAAGTCATACAGGCTTGGCATTGGCTGCTCTGTTGATGTCCTGACAGAAAGAGGAACCCTGTGATATCTCCCGGCCTTTTGAGGAGTTAGAAGCGTCTGGGCATCCTTTTCCCTTTGTCCAGCTTCTTCCATACCTCTGTGCAGGGGAGCAAGGGGACTGCCTGCTCCCATGTCTGGCCATGTCCTTTTCTCTGGCCGTCTCTGCTGTAGGCCCAGCTCAGCCCTGGTTATTGCTGGGTGGACGTAGTTTCATTGGCAATAAGTAACACAGTCAAGTTGCCAGGTTCTCTTGTCACTTATTCTGTCTTGCTATTTAATATTCTGGAGCAGGTCTGTCCAGTGGAACTTGCCATGATGATGGAAGTGTTGTTCTTCATGTTCTCATTGTCTACTCTGGGAGCCCCTCGCACACATGGCTCTTGAGCCCAGAAATGTGGCAAGTGTGAGTGAGCAGATCAGCTTTCCATTTTATGCAGGCTTTTTGGTTGCTATGTTTTTTTTTTTTTTTTTAAAATATGGAACGCTTCACGAATTTGTGTGTCATCCTTGCGCAGGGGCCATGCTAATCTTCTCTGTATCGTTCCAATTTTAGTATATGCGCTGCCGAAGCGAGCACGGTTGCTTTGTTTGAAACTTTATCAAAGTGTGTTTTTCATACTATACAGTCCTTCCACTTGCAATTCAACAGATTTTCATATATTTACAGGGTTGTACAACCATTGCTACAGTCTAGTTTTGTAGCATTTTCAACACCCCAGGAAGAAACCGTGTTCTTATCAACAGTTGCCCTCATCCTAACTCCCTGCCTGCCTCTGGCAAGCACTCACCTGCTTTCTGTCTCTGGGCTTGCCTCTTGCAGCCACTTCATGTGAATGAGTCATGTGATACATGGTTATCTGTGACAGGCTTCTCTCATCTAAAAGTGTAATGTTTTCAGTAACAGCATTTTAGAATGGAAGGAGAAAAAAAATCTTAGCATTTTTTACTTTTGGCCAAATTCCTTAAACTGTATTCTCTGGCAGTTCCAATATCCTTGTTAACGTGAAGTTAGTTTTACAGCTTTGATTCTACTTTAAATTTAAGCCTGTGTTTTTTCTTTTTTATAAGTTTATTTATTTCATTTTTGGCTCTGCTGGGTCTTCGTTGCTCTCTTGTTGTGTGTGCAGGCTTCTCATTGTGGTGCCTCTTGTTGCAGAGCACGGGCTTTAGGGTACAGGCTTCAGTAGTTGGTACTGTACAGGTTTAGTTGCTCCACAGGTTGTGGGATCTTCCCAGACCAGGGATTGAACCCAGGTCCCCTGCATTGGCAGGTGGATTCCTAACCGTTGGGCCACCAAGGAAGCCCAGCTGTGTTTTTTTTTTAAGACTTTTCAGTCTTTCAGAGGAGGTGGAGAACTTTCAGGATTTGCTTCTTTGCTGTCTGTTAATGAGTTTATCAGAAGTGCTGCCCAGTAGCAGATGTGAGTGAGCTGCGTCAAACACCTGGATAGGGCAGGCATGTTACTAACTCCAGTCCCCTCTCGCTGGTGACTTGTCAAGTCTGTGAGGCCCTCAAGAAGTTCATGACCAATTATGTGTCTTTGTGCAGGTTTCCAGAGCATTGCTATTTACCAAAAGCACTTCCTGGATCATTTTCATTGTTCAATTGCCTTTTATTTTCTTGTCATAAAATTAGTATGTTTTAAACATTGAGGATCATTAAAGTATATGCAAAGAATGAATGTTACAAAAAGGAGAACAGACAAGAAGCTATCAGTTTTGCTTTTCTGATCAGATGTTTGGAAGGATTGTGTATATTCTAGCAATGCAAAGGAAAATTAAATGGTAAAGTATTTCAGTAGCAGATTTTCCTTTGGTAACATTTGTTACCATGGCTATATATTATCATAATAAGGTAACCTAATATTGTGCTTCAAATATGTTCTTGGAATTGCATACAAAGCAATCATTTATAAAGTAAATCATATTTTCTGAAGTCCACAATAATTTTTCCCTACAATAAAGGATCCCTGTAGTCATGTAATTAAATTACATGACTAAGCAAATTAGATTGAAAGCAGTACTTGAAGGAGATTTATAAATTTGTAAATTAATAGTGAAATTACTTTTTTGGTAAGACTGAAATCTAAGATGAAATTATTTTAATTTAGATATTAATTTAATATAGGTGTTTTATGAACATTGACTGGAGAGCCTCTTTTAATAAGCCAACATCAGGAGAATTCTTGCACTGTGTGTGTTTTAGTTCCTGAATATGAGGTAATAATGATGATGATGTACATTATGTTTTGTGTTTAATGGAAACTGATGTCAGTTCAGATTGAGTAGCAGAGGTTTGTTGTTTTTTAATTTGGTGGGCTGGTATTGCTTTCTTGTGTTGATGAGGCAAAAATTTTGAAGAGTTTCAGAGAGATGCCAGAGATAATTTAGCAAAACTTCTGATTGCTAAAACCTCTCTCCCTCTTTGCCTCCTTTCCTTTCTTTGGTCACTTTTTTTTCATGTCATAGCTTTTTGGGGAGGAAAAAATTACCCTGTCCTCTTTCTGGGTTCTTCTGGCTGGTCAAAGAATTAAATTGACGTGAGGCAGAGGAACAGGAGAAAATAAAATTTAATTACACATATACAGGGTTACGTCATTTTACGTAGCTTCCGGTAGATGTAACCACCCATGCCTGGAGCGCTTGATTTCTGGAATGGAGTTGCCAGGTCACAGGGCACATGTGAATTTAGATCTAGCAATCCAGTCACTTTTCTAAACCCGTTGGTACATCCGTCAGCAAAGGGAGACAGTTGCCGTTTCCTCCTGACACTGACATTGTCCTGCATTATTCTCTAAAGTGGGTGTCGTGATAGAAACAAAAACTACACGTGCACACTTGTGTGTGTGTGAGGTGTGCACACTGACTTTTTCGCTCTGTGAGGAAAGATTTGTTTCATAGTCATGAAACATTGAGTGCATTGGGGTGGGTTAATCCCCAGTCCTGGAGGATTTCACTTACAGCTGGCTTCTGGGCTTTGTTTTGGTTGGTTGTGTGCTTGATGGGTTCAGCTCTGTGCTTCACTGATAGCCCCATTCACACATGTGTTTCCAGTATCTCTAGACAGCTGTTCTTCTTTGCACTGCAGTCTTTCTTTTTTTTAAGTGCCCATGATTGTAAAATTTAGAGGAATATTATCTTTACACTTTCTCTTTTAGTTTGTACTTGTACATAACTGCGTTATGGAGATGGGTGTTGAAAAGTGGTCTATAAACACTGTTGCAGCTCTAGTGTAACTTTGGCATAATGTCTCTGCAGTTCCTATGTGTATTTTTTGTTGCCTTCCTGCTTTATCATTTATCACTGCTTGAATTATTTTTAATTCTCCAGAATATGGATCTGGGGTCCCCTCTTGAATTCTGCCAGTTTCTGTTTTCCTTAGGTGCCTAATCCACCATAATGGAGAATTCCCATTGTCAGCCATATTGGAGAGTGTATTTGATGATCTTCTCTAAATGTGTTGAGAAGTCAAGTTGCTTTTTCTCTACCAGGGAGGCTTATGCACATTGTAGCTAGATCTCCGCCTAGCCTGTCATGTGTTAGCTAACGAGATAATCCCACACCCAGCGGGATGTGCCCTCTTATTCCCCCACTTTATTGGCAGGAAGCTCACTCAGGGACCCGAGGCTTGGAGGTGGCCCAGTATGGCAGGCTGGTCCCAGAGCCTTTGTTCTTAACTGTGATACTCTGTTACTGCCTTTCTTTCCTGGTGGAGGAGTCCATGTTTGAGCCTGTGGGTCAGTTCATCTGGAGCGAGGAGGGGCCAGAGTTCTGGGAGGTAACTGGAGGTGGAGGTCTGGTCCTCAGCGGGGAAAGTAACTGTTGGACCTGGCACTTGAAGGTCACTGCTGAACTTAGCAGTTGCCATGTTAGTGGGGTGGTAAGATGGAAGAGAGGTAAGAACCTGGATGAATCTTTACAGAAACCTTCACGTATTAGGAGGAAGAGAGATGCAGAGGTTGGTACCACATTTAGGGATAACATGAAGATGAGAAAGATAAGAGTATGTTTAGGTGGTGAGTAGAGGAGACCAACAGACCCTGGAGCTACAGATTGCACTGTGAGGGAGGAGTGGGCTGCAGGCCGTGTGGGGCTGGGGGCCTGGACAGGAAGCACTGCCCACCTCTGTTGGACGAGAGAGAGGTGGAAATGGCTGTTGGTTTAGTTCCATGTCGGGGTGTGGTGGTGGCAGCTGAGCGGCTCTCTGGCTGATGGTCTCTTTCTTCTCTGGCTGCTGAGACAAGGGAGGAAAGCAGGGCAGGAGGGTAGAGGTGGCGGTAGTGGTGACAGCATGGGTGTGGCTCCGAAAGGGCAGAGAGAACGGGCAGAGCTGCCTGAGCGCCACATGATGGTGCACCGACTCCAGCAGGGCCTGGATTATGTCTGTGTGGGAGCAGAGGCGGTGACTCACTGGATTAATAGAAGGCTGATTACTCTCTTTAAAAATAAATCATTGAATAATTTTATACATGAGACTAATAGGATGATGTGAGAGGAAGCTAAGGAAGTGATATAGTTTCCTTTGTTCAATTGAAGGCAGTCATTCAGTTGTCTGTCAGCATTGCCTTCACTGAAAATAATTTCTGTGCTGGTGTTGGACTGCCTGGAGGTGCATCACAGGAGAGAGTGTGGTTTTACAAGCAACATCTTTTATCTGCTCGTTTATATGTGAATGCTGAAGCTGTAGCTAGCAACGAAGAAGCCATTTTTAAAAGGTGTCATGTATTGCGGTATAGAATGGTAAATGGACTCAGAAAAAGACAGCAAACCAAAAAATTTTTGTGTTGAGATTGTTGATAAGTGGAAGAGAAGAGTGTGCCCTAGGCTGCCTTTTTGTTCATTATTGGAGAAAGCCTGCCCAGACTCTATCTCTAAACAAGAAAGAGGGAATTCTCCTTTCACAAAGGGCTACTTACCTGCTGACCTAATTGGAAAAATACATATATATTTTCTCCCATTATGGAAGATTGTTTTAGAACTGAAAATTCACCTTTTTTTGGGTCAGTAGTTTTTGCTAACATTTTTGAGTTTTTAGGCAAATTATGTTAGTACTACTGGATATATTGTGCTTTCGGTAACTGTGTTCACTACTTTCTAGGTAAAACCTAAGATAACCTTTCCATGATGACTTTTGATTATTCTACCAAATACAGTTATATCATTGTGTTTCTGTGTTTGAGTGCCTGGAATTTCTTTAAAGTGTTACTTTTTAACAAGCTTAGTTTAAATTGAAACATCGAGCTTCCTAGCATCAAGTGTGTTAGGTTTTGAGTATTTATGTGACGTCCACTGTCCTCTCCTTCCTTCTTTCTTTTTGTCAGCATGCTCTTTGAGGCCAGAGTCTGAAATTTCCCCTTGTTCCTTCATTTCTTACAGATGTAAGCCTCATGGTAATATTTAGGGAGAAGCCCAGGCCAGATGTCACCACCCGCTTTTCTAATATGGAGGTTCCTGCAACTTCTTGGGGATTATTTACTCATATTTATTTCAAGCTTCAGATTTAACCTCAGTTTCTCTAAGAAAGTGCCGCTGAACTGATAGTTTTAAAAAGTCATAATCTTTTTCATGTGTTTAATTAGGTTTGTATATGCTGTATAGTTTTTTTTTAAGTTCTCTTTTATTGAGTTTCTATGAAATGTTTTAACTCTGTGCTGTATGAACTACTATACTTAATCCTAAGAGTACTCTTTCAGAGTGCTTAGCGGTATCATCCTTACTAAGGATGGAGAAATTGAGCGTTAAAAAGGTTTGGCAACCCTTCATATCATTCAGATATGGGCTCATCTCAGAGAATACACTTCTGTCTTTTTCATTCTATTTTTGATTTTGATGTTTATATAATTATGAAGAGCAGTGTTGTCTGTATCATGCCTCTCTTCAGGGGTAAGTGAAACACTGCAGGATAATAAGCCATTTATCAAACCATATCAAAGACATAATTACTGTGTTCCTTGATTTCCCTGACTGGATGTAGGCTTGAACCATGTAGGCTTAATTTCACAGAAGAAGTCAGCTTCATTTTTGAGAGTCAGAGAGGAAAGTGAAAAGGAGAATTGACTTTTGAAAAAATAATAGAGACCTTTGGGCATTATGATATTACCATCAGAAACCCTAGCAAACAAACTCCAGATCCTGGCATCTTTGCAACCTGGTGACCTGAGGTGCTTTCTCCCACGCAGAGTTCCCAGTATGTGCAGTGTGTGGCCGGGTGTCTGCAGCTGATGCTCCGAGTCAATGAGTACCGCTTCGCCTGGGTGGAGGCAGATGGGGTGAACTGGTGAGCCCTCACTTGTCATGTGGGATAACGTTTAAGAGCATCTCTCCTTGGTGTTGTCAAAGAAATTAATATGTTTAATCACTGAAATGAAGGTGTTTTTTAAAAAGATTTTTTTCCAAATGTCTTGTGTGATGTTTTTCCCTAGGAAACATGCTGGAGACTCAGGGCCCCCAGTTTTCACTGTTAGTATTTATGTATGTCAGGATGGTACTCTCCACCTTGCACGAAGCAATATTCCAGACTCCAGAGGGAAAGCAGGCCTTCAGCATAGACATAGCATCTTGTTTGTGTACACAGTTTAGTCCCTGGTGGCTCAGCGGTAAATAGTCCTCTTGCCAATGCAGGAGACACAGGTTCGATCCCTGGGTTGGGAAGATCCCCTGGAGGAGGAAATGGCAACCCACTTCAGTATTCTTGCCTGGAAAGTCCCACAGACAGAGGAGCCTAGTGAACTACAGTCCCTGGGGTCACAAAAGACACACAACTTAGCAACTAAACAACAACAACATCTTCCAGGCAAAGTTCTATTTCTGTGTAGGGGGCTGATCGCCAGTCATGTTCCCAGAGGCCAGCCAGGGGCCTGCTGTGCAGGCAACCTACTTCTCAGCACAGCTGTCTTATGTGTTAGCTCTCCTCCGTACAGAAACCTGAAGGTGACTACACAGACGGTGTTTCTGGTCTATTTATCTTCTTGTAAGTGATGTGATATTTTGGGCAATGCAATAAGAAAAGATAGTTATTCATTTTACTATTATATCATCTTCTAGGTGATTCCATTGTCCAGTTTTTTATAACTTTAGTCTTTACTGTTTTTTTTTTAATCATACTTGAGAATAATGAGTGAATAATGATGAAATAAGATCTAGGATGGTGAAATAATGTGATTCTTCAAATTATAGTTAACAAACTCACAGTATATCTTAGGCTTGTAAATGGGTCCAGTAGACCTGTATTGTGATTGTAAGATATATTGAATTTTATCCTATTAAACAAAAAGTGCATTTTCTTTTTGTTCTTTGAAAGACCTGTAAGAGAGAATAAAAGTCATGAAACAGCTGTTTCTAAAAACAGTTATAATTGCTCAAAAGATAAACTCAAACACCCAAAGTTTGGTCTAGTGGACCCTAACGGCATACAGAGAGGCTAACCAGATGCTGCTCTTCTAGTTATTGGCACTTGTGTTTTGGAGGACGGTAACGTCAAAACCTTTGACTGTGTGGATCACAACAAACTGTGGAAAATTCTTGCAAGAGATGGGAATACCAGACCACTCTACCTGCTTCCTGAGAAATCTGTTTGTAGGTCAGGGAGCAACAGTTAGAACTGGACATGGAGCAACAGACTGGCCCCAAATTGGGAAAGGTGTATGTCAAGGCTGTATATTGTCACCCTGCTTATTTAACTTATATGCAGAGTACATCATGAGAAATGCTGGGCTGGAAGAAGCACAAGCTGGAATCAAGATTGCCAGGAGAAATATCAATAACCTCATATATGCAGATGACACCACCCTTATGGTAGAAAGTGAAGAACTAAAGAGCCTCTTGATGAAAGTGAAAGAGGAGAGTGAAAAAGTTGGCTTAAAGCTCAGCATTCAGAAAACTAAGATTATGGCATCCGGTCCCATCACTTCATGGCAAATTGATGGGGAAAAAGTGGAAACAGGGACAGACATAATTTTTTGGGGCTCCAAAATCACTGTGGATGGTGACTGCAGCCACGAATTTAAAAGATGCTTGCTCCTTGGAAGAAAAACTATGACCAATCTCGACAGCATATTAAAAAGCAGAGATATTACTTTGCCAACAAAGGTCTGTCTAGTCAAAGCTATGGTTTGTCCAGTAGTCATGTATGGATGTGAGAGTTGGACTATAAAGAAAGCTGAGCGCTGAAGAATTGATTTGAACTGTGGTGTTAGAAAAGATTCTTGAGAGGCCCTTGGACTGCAGGGAGATCTAGCTAGTCCATCCTAAAGGAAATCAGTCCTGAATGTTCATCGGAAGGACTGATATTGAAGCTGAAACTCCAGTACTTTGGCCTCCTGATGTGAAGAACTGCCTCATTTGAAAAGACCCTGATGCTGGGAAGGATTGAAGGTGGGAGGAGAACGGGATGACAGAAGATGAGATGGTTGGATGGCATCACTGACTCAATGGACATGAGTTTGAGTAATCTCTGGGAGTTGGTGATGGACAGGGAAGCCTGGCATGCTGCAGTCCTTGGGGTCTCAAAGAGTCGGACCCAACTGTGCAGCTGAACTGAACCAGTATTAACTATTCAGTTTAGCAACAATAAAGAGCATGAATACAATCTAGAATATGTCATGTCCAACCTACACTCTTTGATATGGTAATACCCACCAACAAGGTTGAAAGTGAAAGTGAAGTCGCTCAGTCGTGCCCGACTGTTTGCGACCCCATGGACTGTAGCCTACCAGGCTCCATGAGATTCTCCAGGCGAGAATACTGGAGTGGGTTGCCATTTCCTTTTCCAGGGGATCTTCCCGACCCAGGGATCGAACCCAGGTCTCCCACATTGCAGGCAGACACTTTAACCTCTGAGCTACCAGGGAAGCCCATAATTGTAATCAAATTAATACAGAGACTTTTAAGTTGAGAACAGGTATTACTAAAGGTAGTATATATTAACTTGCTGAGATTGGGACAGTTTAGAAAAATCATTGAATTTTTCATTTTTCATTTTTTTAAAGAAAGAAAGCATGTAATTTCTATTCTGCCATTTCTTTTGTTTAGGATTGACGGTTTTCTTTTTTTCCTTTTTGGTGCTCCACAAATCACAAGCAGGGATCCTGGGAGGAGAAAAAATTGTGAGCATAGCCTGTTTGAGGAGAGTGGAAGGGGACTGTGGTTTAAGAGCCCAGGACCTGTTTTCTCTGTGTAGTTTCCTTTTCGGTTACATGACTGGCACACACTGTTCTGAAAGTTTATGTGCCTGGATAAGACCAAGAATACACTCTTACATTACTGGAAAGTTTGGAGGTCAGCGCTGATGTTTTAACTGCTGGAGCTAAGGTGGGTGGGCTTCCACTGAAGTAATTGCTCCCCCCTGCCCCATTCACCTGCCCTTTGTGAACATTTGTACTCTGACATTTGAAGTATTTATAAAGTATATAGTAATATAAAGTAGCATATAAGTGAAAGGTAAGATTCAGAAGGAAATTGTGTGCTGAGTTGCAAGGGTCATGTCCTGAATGCCAGTCAAGCCCTCCTGCTGTTTGCTGTGTGACTGAGCGCCCTGCAGCAAGGGGGCAGCGTCCTGAGACTCCGGCCATGTGGACTGGCCCTCTGAGAGCAGGGGTCTGGCTTGCTCCCTCCTGCAGGAAAAAGGAGAGGACGTGATTCTGAGAGACTGGCCCACTGGGGCAGAAAGAGCAGTCAGTTATTTCTACTTCCGGTCGCACTGTCCTATTACTGAACGTCGTCTCCACCTGTGTTCCTTTCAGCATCATGGGCGTCCTGAGTAACAAGTGTGGCTTTCAGCTGCAGTATCAGATGATCTTTTCCGTATGGCTCCTGGCTTTCAGCCCACAGATGTGTGAACACCTGAGGCGCTACAACATCATCCCTGTCCTGTCTGACATCCTGCAGGAGTCGGTCAAAGAGAAGGTGACGAGGATCATTCTGGCAGCATTCCGTGTAAGCATTTTGTGGGGAGTGTGTCCTGTGGGGGTATGTCCTGTGGGTGTGTGTGTGCTGTGGGGTTGTGTGTATGTGGTGTTCTGGTGTGTGTCCTGTGGGGGGGTGTGTGGTGTTCTGTAGTGTATGATGCGTGTGTGGTGTGTTCAGTGCGGTGTTTGTGTTTTCTATGGGGTGTGTGTGTGTGTGGGATGTGTATGGTGTTAGTGTCGTGTGTGTGGTGTGCGTGTGGTGTATTCAGTGGGGGTTTGTGGTGCATATGTGGTGTTCTGTGGTGTGTGTGTGGTGTGTTCTGTGTAATGTGTGTGTGTGTGGTGTGTTCAGTGCGGTGTTTGTGTTTTCTATGGGGGGTGTGTGTGTGTGTGATGTGTATGGTGTTCTGTAGAGTGTCATGTGTGTGTGGTGTGCGTGTGGTGTATTCAGTGGGGGTTTGTGGTGCATATGTGGTGTTCTGTGGCGTGTGTGTGTGTGGTGTGTTCTGTGGGGACTGTGTGATGTGTGTGTGAGAGGCATTTTTTTGTGCAGCCTGAGGCCTTTCAGCAGGTGCAAATGTTGCTTGTTCTCTCAGTGGTCTTGGAGCTGTGGATTCTTGGTGAGCTTAGACTGAAATATCATAGATTGTATTTATGGCAGGAGAGGGGATGAGGGAGGAAGCTGTCTCTATGGATATGTGAGGATTGCAGATACTTGTTGGGAGTGTGACAGTGCTATATTCAGGTGGCCTTGTTTTCCAGGAGGCTGAGGTTTTTTTTTTTCCTGTCCGGGGCCCTTCTTTTAGAAGGGAGTTGTATTTCTGATCCTGGTTCTGCTGACCAGTAGTCATTTCTAAGACAGCTTTAGAGATCTACAGTTACTTTGAGCAGCGAAGTTGTCCTCTTAGGATGTTAGGATTTTGGCCATGAGCTCAGTCAGCATCTTCCCTTAAACAGACCAGGAAGTTGAGGGTGCAGGGGGCCATGCTGGACTCTGTAGAAGTCACAACGTTCAAAAAGTCACAGGAAGTGTACAGCCAGACTGAGATTCTTTATTTCCTTGGCCCTGATTTGGGAGCTCTCCAGATTGTTGATCAGCTTTTTATGGACATCTTAGAAGTAGGATAGTGTCGCTCTTTTCTAGTTTTCCTTTCCACGTGGTGTGTTAGCAAGAGTGTTGGCTCTGGAGTGGGCAGACCTGGAATGAGTCCCTGCATGGCTGGATGGGAGGGTGGTGTGAGTTCTCAGAGCTGATTCCTCCATCAGTAGAAGGTGTTGAGTGAAACTTAACTCACTTCAGCATTGGGTAAGGATTCAATGAAGTAACAGACAAAGGGCCTGGCAATAGTAAATATACAGGAAATATTTCTTTTCCTCCTTTTCTGTCCATAAAAGCACAAAATAATAGCCATCTGCTTCTTTAACCCCCACCTCTATGAATTGCATTCTAGGTTAATGTGGCACGTAGGCAGAGGTCAAGGGCTGTTCTGTTAGATTTAGAAGAGGCAGCATGAATGTTTTACTAATATTTAGCAATATTTAACAATCTTATTTAAACTTTATTTGCAGATTCAATTTTTCTTTTTTTTTTTTTGACCATATATATTCATGATTTTATTTTTTTTAATTTTTTTTTTTAATTTTTTTTTTCATTTATTTTTATTAGTTGGAGGCTAATTACTTTACATCATTGTAGTGGTTTTTGTCATACATTGAAATGAATTAGCCATGGATTTACATGTATTCCCCATCCCGGTCCCCCCTCCCACCTCCCTCTCCACCCAATCCCTCTGGGTCTTCCCAGTGCACCAGGCCCGAGCACTTGTCTCATGCACCCAACCTGGGCTGGTGAACAGATTCAATTTTTCTATCCACACACACTGCATGGAACTTATGCTAATTTCTGGGCTTCTGTTGTCCAATTTGAATTTCAGAGTATTTAAAATAGACCCAATCTATTGACAGGTATATTAGTTTTTTAGACTCTCCTTACTAAACTGGGACAATATAGTCATTGTATGATTAGACTGAAGACTGAATATCAGAAACATCCTTAGACATCCAAAACTTTGACGTACATAACTGAGTTAAAATTGAGCCATTAGTAAGGACATAGTAAAGCCATTTGATTTAGACCATCAAATAGGTGAAAAAAATGACAATGACATGTTCTTCTTTTTTTATAATTCTCAAATTCCTGTAACCTTTAATAAAGATTTCACTGATGAGGTTGTTTGAGGATCATCTAATTATACATTTTTCCCCACATCCCAAGGAAGAAAATTTTTATGCTGAAGACTTTAGGAAGCTTGCTGAGCTGCTGTGAGCTGAAGAAATCTAGCAGCTGTTTTTTTTTTTTTTTTCATTTGGCTGGGTGAAATTTTATTTTTGAAAATGTCAGTCTCACTTATTCATAGCAGGTGCTGAACTCTAGGTCTCCGTAAAGGTTATTCCATCGGTTAACTTGATGTGTCAGTCTTTTGTTTCTAAAATAAATTAGAATGTTTTGAGGCTGTGACTGAGAAAGACGCTTCGGGCTCTATTTGTTGTTTAGGGCTCTTCATCTGTTGTGACTTTGTTTCTCTTTTTTGGCTCTGCTTAGTCCAGACCCTACCTAATATGTCACATAATAAGATAAATTATATTTTATGACTGCATGAAAGCTTGGAAAGGCTCGGGAAGAAACCCCACCCAGTTGAATTTGGATTTATATTAGCTTGTGTTAACTATGATGTTTAATTCACACCCACACATGTATGCCACTCACAGACACAGACATGCACAGACTTGCATATTCTCTGCAGACAGTTCACAATCACAACACCTTCAGAGAGGCCCTCCATTCTGTCTCATTGATCTGTGTATCTGTTTTATGCCAATGCCATCCTGTTTTGATCACTGTAGCCTTGTAATTTAGTTTGAAATCAGGAAGTGTGACCTTTCCAGCTTTCTTCTTCTTTCTCAAGATTGCTGTGGACATTTGGAGGTTTTTGTGTTTCCAACCAGATTTCAGGATTGTTTTTCTGTTTCTGTGAAGAACGTCATTAGAATTCTGGTAGGGATGGATCTGACTGATTTTCTTACACTAAGCCAAAGCCTCTCTGCATTTATTTAGTATAATTGTTAGAAATGTGACATCCTTGCAGAAATAAAGATTAAAATTTTGGTACATTTGATTTAGAATTGTTATTGCAGGATTTGTGTGGGAGCGTTGGGGAGGGGATTAGACAGGCCTTCCTTGCCAACTTTGTCGAAGTGGCTTTCTTGAGAGCTTGTTTGTCCTTATTCCAGACCTGAGCATGGGCATGGTCCTTGCTTAGAAATATTGGTTAATTCAGTGAACACTTTATCTTTAGAAATACTTAGATTCTTTTGCTGCTTTCATAAGTACTCCTAAAAATAGAAAATTCCTTTTGATAATTGTTGAAGCAAAAAAGTTCTTTATTGCTGTCCTATGTGCACTGATAGGTTGATGTGGGGAAGAAAAAGGTCACCAACTGGGAACTAGGGGATACTGAGAAAGCAGTCTTTCTTAGCAAGCTATGGGCTTTGTGTGGCTGATGAATGGAGTGTTCATAGTGGTGCCCCCAGGAGCAGGGCTGGGACCAAAGATGGGGACAGCCCCGTTGTAAATGTGTGCAGGGTTTTGAGGCTTGTCTGGGGCAATGATTTAAAATGTTCAGTGAGCCAGTAGAGAAAGAGGGAATCAGAAGGATGCTCCTGAGGTGGGACAGGTGCTCAGGAGAGAAGTCAGAGTTTGCAGCACAGACATCCACTTAAGGTGATGGATACCCTGAGAACAGGTGGAGGAGAGAGGGTGGGAAGGCAGGTGCAGACAGTATCACATAACAGGTTATATCATTTCTCATCGTGTCTCCGTCTAACCCAGAACTTCTTAGAGAAGTCAACTGAACGAGAAACTCACCAAGAGTATGCCCTGGCGATGATTCAGTGCAAAGTCCTGAAACAGCTGGAGAACTTGGAGCAGCAGAAGTACGACGACGAAGACATCAGTGAGGATATAAAGTTCCTCTTGGAGAAACTCGGTGAGAGTGTCCAGGACCTCAGGTGTGCCGTCCTCTTTGATTCTCACGGGCTGGCTATCCCAGGCTATTGCCTGGCCTTCTATTTTAAGGAAGTCTCAATTTGTTACTAACTATGAACTCAGAAGATTGCGCTAAAACATGGTGTCTTCTATTGAAAACTGAGGGATGTGGAAACACTGGCTTATCACCGTGGGGACAGTTGGTCAGAGCTGTGTGTGCTGTCTCCTCTTCTGGGGGGAGAACCAGAACCCACCATTCTCTGTTGTCTGAAATCCTAGCCACTGTTCTCCCTCAGGTTGTGGGCGCCACCCTCGGAAAATCTGCCAGCTTAGAATCTTTTTTTAAGCAGCAGTCATTTCATTTATGGAGGAGGTTTGCTCATATAGGGAAAGAGTATTTTTTTCACGCTTTTTTTTTTAAAGTTTCTGTTGCTTTATTGTTTATATTAGAAAATTATGCAAGTGATGTACATGCAGTAAAAAGAAAAATCCCTCCCTTATTACAGTCCAGAAGGGACTCTAGATCACTTCCCCATCTTCCTCACCTCTTCCCCCAACACTCTGATTTCTAAACACCTTCTAGCCCCCACCCCCAACACACAAATGCAGATGGGTTCCACATATTCTTCTGGTCTTGGTTCTTTTTTGTTTAATAATAGCTTGACAATCTTCCCCATTAACCAGTGCATTCTTTGTTTTTAAAGTACTGACACATTCTGGAAAGAGAGTTATTTACTAAGAAGAGTTGGGGTTTGGGAGCTGGGGTTTGAATTATTGGGCTACTTTGTCCATGTGTGGCCTTGAACAAGTTTCTTGACATTTTGAAGTTTCAGTTTTCCTTTTGGTAAAATAGTGATAAACGTTCTAACCTTGTAGAATTTTCCATGAGGTGTCCAGCACATGCCTTCAGTGTAATGTGTGCTCTGGGAATGTATTTACCAGATAACTCAGTGCAGTCCATAGTCTTCAGGCCCAAATGCCTTTGTCGAGGTGGGAGCTGTCACCTGCATCAGTGGTTTATACAGAGTTTTATGGAAGAAAGCCGAATGAGTTTTCTCTTTTTATAATTGCAAATATGAGTAAATTATTTGTAGTATAATAGGCCAGCCATGGGCTTGCAGTTTACATAAGTTCCATTTTATTATGTTTATTTCTAAAAATTATCATTAGTTCTTCGGTAATAATGATTTGAGATCCTTTTAAAAAATAATTAAGATTAGTGATAGTTTTCTAAATTATTTAATCCATGCTAGCCAATTTTTACTACTTATTAATTCTTCTGACTGAAAACCACAATCACAGAAAACTAACTCATCTGATCACATGGACCACACAACCTTGTCTAACTCAATGAAACTATGAGCCATACTGTGTAGGGCCACCCAAGACGGACGGGTTATGATGGAGAGTTCTGACAAAATGTGGTCCACTGGAGAAGGGAATGGCAAACCACTTCAGTATTGTCTTGAGAACCTCATGAACAGTATGAAAAGACAAAAAGCTAGGACACTGAAAGATGAACTCCCCAGGTCGGTAGCTGCCCAGTATGCTACTGGAGATCAGTGGAGAAATAACTCCAAAAAGAATGAAGAGATGGAGCCAAAACAAAAACAACAATCCCATGGACAGGAACTGGTGGGCTATAGTCCATAGGATCTCAAAGAGTCAGACACAACTGAAGCGACTTAGCACATAGGCATAGTGAATAATTTTTTAATTAAAATGCATTTCAGATTGTTCCATGAACAGAGGTTTTGTTTCTATTATTAATCTATAGTGGGCTAATTCAATTAGTGAATTATCTCTACACTGTTGATAATCACGGTTAAAAATATTGTCCTGAGGTATGTGTTTTTATTTTTCTAGTGCCATATCATAGTTTGACATTTAAAATATAATAGAATATACTACTTTATTTTATGTTAAAATAACACACTGTTTATGTAAATGTATCCTACCATATTGAGTGGTCTGTTAAGTACAATATTTTAGTGGTGTGGTAGAGAAATGATGCTAAATTATCAGATATTTTAGTGACATTTATTCATGTGTATATTAGGATAAGGATTTTGGAGACAAGTGCTCCTTTTAAACATCTCATGATGAGCATTCAAATTTGACAGGAACGTTGTATCTCAGTGTTCTAAATCAATTTCACATGGCTTACTGAAGATGATTTAAGCTGTTTAAACTTTGTTTAGGGGTAATATATAAAGGATGCTCCGTCTCTATAGTTAAATCATTAATGAAGATGTTCTGCATTTTTTACATTTTGGAGTATCTCTCAGATTCTTATAAACTTTGAATTCTTTCAAATTTTTTATAGCTCATTTGATGAATACAGTTCAGAACTTAAGTCTGGAAGGCTGGAGTGGAGTCCTGTGCACAAATCTGAGAAATTTTGGAGAGAGAATGCTGCGAGGTTAAATGAAAAGAATTATGAGCTCTTGAAGTAAGTTTCACATTCAGTTAATTCCAGGTTACATGCTAAATAAACTCTGTTGTTCCACATACTCATGGACATATTTTTGTCCTTCTTTAAGTTTTTGGATAGTCCATGGTTTTAACATATATTTTCTTGCTTACTAATGTGGTTGAATACCTTTTCATATGCTTATTGGCCGTTTGGGTTATCTTTTTTCCCAGGAGAAATGCCTGTTCAAGTTTTTTTGTTGTTGTTGTTCATTTGTTTTCCCTATTTTATAAGAATTCCGTAAGTATTCTAAACACGTTCTGTGTCACACGGAAGTGTTTCACTGCCCTGAAATCTCCCCGTGTGCCACCTGCAGTTTTCCCTCCCACTCTCCCCCTGATATGGTGGGACTTGTGGGCATTGGACATTATGAATCTGAAAGTGACCTGTTATGTGTGTTTAAAAGGTCTGAAGCCTGCTAACTTATGTTCAATAAATGATGTGCAATGTACTGTGTGTAATAGTGAAACTTGGAGAAAATACGGTTATATTTGTAAACGTACATTTTTGAGAAAGTATCAGCATTATACGTGTGTTCTCTTGTGCTCTAGCAAAGGATTAGAAATCAGTCTCTCTTTGAATTAAATTTATTTCAGAATTTTGACCAAACTTCTAGAGGTGTCCGACGATCCCCAAGTCTTAGCTGTTGCCGCCCATGACGTTGGGGAGTATGTGCGCCATTACCCTCGAGGCAAGCGGTAAGGGAAGAACCTGGTTACCTCGTGTGCCCTGAGATGGTCAGCAAGGGTCCTAATCCATACACTCCTGTAAAGTAGTCATTTAGCTGGGAGCTGATGGAGTAAATGGAATCAAGGTGACCATAATGCTGGGAATCATGGTAAATGATAAACCTAATTAAAAATGGGTGGTATAAGAATAGAAGCACATGTGTGGAACACAACTGTGCCTTAGCCAATAGAGATCTCTCTAGAAATTTCACGTTCAGGATTTTCTTTGGTCTGTACGATGTAATTTGAAAGCCATTTCATGAGTACTGGTAATTTTTCGATTATTACTGTTATTTGTTATAACATTGAATTGTTATTGAACTGAGTAGGATGAATGAATGTGATGGAAGGAGCTCTTTTGGGGGGGAAATGATCACATCAGCTTCCTATTCTGCAGTCCCTACATTTGCACCACAAACGGGGGTTCGTTGTCTTCAGTGACAGGAAGAAATTTCCTAGATTCAGCGACTGAGCTACTATAACGTAGTTGGTAAAGGACTGAACTGATGTGTTAGGTAAGGTGCTGTTTTAATCCATAGTACCTGGCATGGGACAAGCACTCATAAAGACTGGATATAATTATACTACACGTTTCTTTTTTCTCAATACGGTACATTAAAAAAAAGAATGTTCTAAAAATAACATACAAGAAGGTCTCCAGGTGAATCCTCTCTGTCACCCCCACCCGTGTGCTCCCCTCTAGGTTGTCTTGCCCCACCAGCAGGCTCATTGCACTAAGGCGTCCCAGCCACTGACTGTGTGGTGGTGTTGGCCACCAGGCACCCATGCTGCTGGGCTAGACTTGAGACACCCACTGGCTCTTGGCAGGGCCCTGTCCTGGCAGACAGTCAGGGACCGTTCTTCCTTTCGTGATGCAATAACCGTTTACACTTCACTTTTGTGTCTGTAGTAACTGGATTTTTTGGGGTGTTGCGGGGGGGCAGTGACAGCGGTGTGATTATCAGTCCTCTTGGTGCTTTTGTCAAGAGGAATCTCTCATCTCTTTCACTGCCCAGCAGGTCATGATGGCATACTCCATCATTGCAGGAAAGGGCAGATATCTTAACAAACCGTGTCTTTCTCAGGAAATTAACATGGCTTCATGAGATGTTTTTTTAACCTTGTGTTCCCTGCTGCCTGCTTCTGAGCCTGTATCTGGCTCACAGAATGGCAGCCGCTGCACTTAATATTGATCTGATATTATTTCAGCCATTAGGTGGTATGCAATATACTAATTTTTAAGCAAGCCACAAATTTTGGTAATAAAGAACTTGATACTCAACTGCCTGGAACACTGTAATATAGATTACCCTAGCAGTCCAGATTGATCATATTTGCCCAGACTAGGAAATGAGGATAACAATTGGATTTATCATTAGAAGTTCAAGAGAAAAATGTATGAATACTTCAAATCTGTGATTTGGAAGAAATGATATTTTAAAAAGATGTGTGTTGTTTACTTACCAGTATGGTAACTTCTCTTTGTGAAACTCCTGGGCGGTTGGGGGTTGGGGCTCTCTCTGTGCGACTAGCAGCAGGCATTGGAAAGTCACTGCCGCTTCTGTCCCGCAGGGTCATCGAACAGCTGGGTGGGAAGCAGCTGGTGATGAACCACATGCACCACGAGGACCAGCAGGTGCGCTACAATGCCCTCCTGGCCGTACAGAAGCTCATGGTGCACAACTGGTAGGTGTCCCCGACCCCTGCGTCTCCATCCACGTGTTCTTACGGAAACGCTTTCATGAGCACTGGGTTTTAAAAGCAGTGATTTAGATTTTAGCCATTCAGAGCAGTGATGTGATAGTTTGGAAAACAACTGCATTAATGTTCTCAGAAAATGCATATGCAAAGTACTTTGTTGTTCAGTCAATGTCTTGATTTGAGTTGTCCAATCGTCTCATCCTCTGTCAGGTTCAGTAGGGTTGCTGAAGTATAATTCTTGTCTTGTTAATAAAAATTTCATTTGAATAGTTATTTCCCTTGAAAAGTTTATTGTTCAGTTTAGCATTTTCATTTTTTAACTGTGCATTTATGATGTGAAAAAAAAGCTGAGTATGGCATAGGATGGCTAAGAGTGTTCCCTTTGGCAGTGGAGAAAATTTTTTGGTTGAGAATTTTATTGTTCAAATGATCATGCATTCAAGATGAAACATTTAAAATTTGAAAACTTGGCCTTGAATTTAGGAATTTGATTTAGTCTCACAGTAAATTTTTTGATGTATGATTACAAAAGGAAAAGTAAAATTTTTTATGGCCAATAACTGGTCTATTTGCTCTTTATCATTGACTAGCCAATTAGAGAATATCCTTTCTCCCCCTTTTCTCTAGTTATGTGCCAAAATATTTTAGCTTTAGTGTTTTAATTATGATAAATCCTCTTTAGTGGAGAAGCTTAGCTTCAGCATTTTCCTGTACTTTCTTTATTAAAAGAATTTTCATATGAAGATTAGAATCCAGTTAGAAAGAATTCTAACTGTGGATTAGAATCCACAGTTGATTAAACTGTAGCGTTTGTGGTGACAGACACATTCCTATGGCATTTTGTGCCAGAGGATGTAAACTGCTCCAGTAATAGCAAGTTATTCAACCTCAAATTGGTGTGAGACCAGATAGAATGCCATTTGGAAGGAAAACCTTTGGCAGCATTACTTCCAAATGTAAAAGGATTTTGAATCAGTATCTTTATGCAGGTAACCAAGCTGGCAAAGCCTACTGCTCTGCTTTCCTAAACTAGAGGCTTTTTAACTAAACCATGGTCCTGGTGTTTAGAAGATGTTTCACACCAAATAAAACCTGAAAACATAATTGATTTGGTTTCCTCTGAGCATTTAGTTTGTCTTGGTTTAATTAAAACAAGTTTTTAGAAATGGTGTATTTTAGTACAACACAGTGACAGAAATCAATTGAAAATAATTAAAATACAGATATGGGTAAAAGTAGAATATGAGTCTGTCTGAGTGGCGGCAGCAGCAGCGTTTCCTGACAGTATCTAGCATGTTTTCTCTGTTACTGCTCTGCTCTGAGGCCGTTTCCAGATTTCCAGCACTCTCCTGGTTTACTTTTTGACTTTTCTACCATAAATGATTTTTACGTTTTTGGTGTTTCATTATTCCCAAGATTTCTGTTGATTAGACTAAGTTATAATTGTGGATATAGTGAAGTTAGCATTTCTTTTTTACTGTGGAGAATGGCTTTTTGGTTTTAAGTCTAAAATTATATTTTGAGTATAAACTGGAAACTTAGGAAATCATGGACCTGGATTGTCTCTGGGTCTCGATTTGGATTCTGCTCTGAGGGTTCAGTTCACTTTTCTTGGTGATGCAGAGATGGATTTACCCCTGGTTTATGGAACATGGAGTGTAGAGTTTTACATTATCATGTGAAAATATTGCTCACTTTTTGTCAGGAGTTTATGACTGATTTCTGGATTATTTTTGTGACTTGCAGGATATAGAGTAGCCAGCGTTTCTCCCTCCACTGGACACCTGTGTGTATGAATAATGGGTTACATGTAGCCCCAGCTGATGTGGGTGGGGTGTGGGGGGCAGAATGGAAGGAGGGGGCAGTAGGCACACACTGGGGTCCCTGCAGCTCAGGGAGCCTCGAACGGGCCAGTCCCACCCATGGCCCTGCTGAGTGGATGTGCAGGCTCTGGCCTTCCCGTCCCCACATGCAGTTCCTGGTATGTATGTCCCTCATTCTTTTGAACAAGACTGGATTTTTATATTCATGAATTTGGCAAAATAGATAATAAACAATGACAACTTAGTCTAGAGAGCTTTTGTATAGACTCTCAGCTCTGCATTATAATCTAACATCATAAAATGTCGTCGTTTCTCTCCTACAGAATGATTTTAAATGTAATCAGCCTCTAATTCAGAAGCAGCCATACATATGTGCATATGGACAGCTCAGGACTTCAGGAAAGAAACACTGAATTTTGTAGGTAGAGGATCTTGTGTAGGACTTTCTCTTTGTTTCTAGATTCTTTTCCAACATATTTTCAAGCAGAATAATAAGTTAAGAGTGTTAGACTCTCTAGTTCTTTTATGTGTAGGTAAATAATATAACTGAGAGACCTCACAAAGCCAAGGGTGTGGGTGATGCTGCTTTTATTCTTCAATCTTTACATCTGACTGGGGTATTTTAGTTATTCTGTAAGTACATAGCCATAAATGCAGTGATTAAAAGAGTTACATATGAACAGAATTGAAGGGAAAAACCCCTTAGTAAGTTTTAATTTTTAGCCTTAATAATCATGTTACTATAACATTCCATATAATTTTAAATAAACGTATGACATTTCCGAGTTTAACATTTTCCAAAATTAATGTAGAAAATTGTGGGCTGCCTCGAGTTTTCCACATTATTCTTATGACATTTTTAGTGGAGGAATTCTCAGGTAAGACTGTTGTTACATTCTAAATATAATTCAAGTGAAAGGAGTCTACAATAAGCTCTGAATGTGGACTTTGCTCCCGTTCTGTCTTCTTAAGAGTGCTTGTAACAGCATATGACATGTTGCATAACTAAATTTGTTTGTGCTGTGGTCATTTAGAGGCGTGTTCTGCGTTGTACTGATTGCTTTTGGTTATAAATACTTGATCCGAAATTGGTATTTAAAGTGAAAAGGAGGGACTTCTGGTTCTGGTTATACAGGTATGGAGCTTGAAGTCTCCACTCCATCTGAACAAGTAAACAGCTGAACAGACTGAAAAATCAAGCAACCCATGTCGAACCCATAGGAGAAGGCAGGATACACTTTTCAACCGAGACTGAAGAGGCACATGAATGCAGAGTTGCTGCTCAGAGGAGCAGGACACAGACGAGGGGACAGTGAGGGACCAGCGCCTGGAGGAGGCTGGACTATGGCTGGTGAATCGCAGGAGGTGCAGTATACACTATAGTCTAGGGGGGCTGGGGGGGTGGGCCAATACAGTGAGAATTCTCTCCAGAAGCCAGACCAGTGTACCACAGTAAATATCTCGGAAGAACTCCCACGGCCTTTTGTCAGAAAGGGGAGAGGAACCATTCTGAAACAGCTCAGAGCTCTTGTTCTTAACCAGGCCTGTACTCAGTGGAGAGTCATTAACCCAGCCTGCCAGGTGTCATCAGAGTCTGACTGACCTGGGGCAGGGAAATGACCAGCTCCAGCGGCTTTGACCATCCTGTCCCACCCAGAAGGGTAGAAAAACCCCAAGGGACACTCATGAAGGTCACAATCTCAGGGTCCAGGTTCAGTGACAACTGAGACCAGATCATAGGACTCCAAAAAGCTTCCTTTCACCTTGCCTCACCACCATGTTGCTTAAGATTTATTTATAACAGTTTCTTTTACCCAGCACACCAAATCCAACTATCAAGAAAATACTACAGAGCATACCAAAAAGAAAAAAAAGACAAAGTAAGCATCAGAACAAGCCATGGCAAGAATGTTGGGAGATCAGGCTGGAAACTTTAAACAACCATGATCAACATACTTAGGACTCTAATGGATGAAGTAGACAGCATGCAAGAACAGATGAACAAGTTAAACAGAGAGATAGAAATCCTAAGAAAGGACCAAAAAGAAATGTTAGAAGTAAAAAATCCTGTAGCAGAAGTGAAAAATGCCTTTGATGGACTTATTAGTAGACTGGATATGGCTATCTACAGAAAACACCAGGCATACTTGGGTTCACCGTTGAATTCTACCAAACATTTAAGGAAGAAATGTTAGATCAATTCTTTGCAATCTTTTTAAGAGGTTAGAAGCAGACAGAATACTTCCTAACTCACTTTGTGAGGCCAGCATCACCTAATACCAAAACCAGACAAAGACATTATGAGAAAACCATAGGCCAGAATCTCGTATGAACATAGATACAAAAATCCTCAATGAAATAGTAACACACTAAATCCAATAACATATAAAAAGAATCATACACCAAAACCAAGTGAAATTTACTCCAGATATGCAAGGCTGGTTAGGCATTTGAGAATCATTTAATATAATCCATCACATCAACGAAGAGAAGAAAAATCACATGATTTTAACCATCAGTTCAGTTCAGTCACTCAGTTGTGTCTAACTCTTTGCGATCCCATGGACTGCAGCATGCCAGGCTTCTCTGTCTATCACCAACTCCCGGAGTTTGCACCAACTCCTGGATTATAACTATAGATGCAGAAAAAGCATCTGACAAAATAAAACACCTGTTCCAGTAAACTAGGAATAGAGTTCTTTCTCAATATGGTAAAGAATATCTATTTTTAAAAAACCCTTTAGCTAACATCATACTTAATGCTGAATAACTGGCATCTTTCCCACAAAGATCAGGTACAAAACATAGGGGTCTCCTTTCACAACTTCTTTGTACTGGAAGTTCTAGCCAAAGCATTAAGACAAGAAAAAATAAATGGTATCCAGATTGAAAAGGAAGACTTGAAACAGTGTTTGCTCCTGGATGACATGATCATCCATGTAGAAAATCCTAGAGGCTTGACAAAAAAAGTCTTCCTGGAACTAATAAGCAATTATAGCAAAGCTACAGGAAATAAGGTTAATATACAAAAGTCAATCACTTTCCTATGTACCAGCACGGGACAGGCAGAATTTGACTTGAAGACTATAAGACTACAGTAATCAAGATAATATGGTATCGGTAAAAGAGTAGACAAACAGATCAATGGAACAGAACAGAAAG